TGAGTTAAAACTGCAGATATTAATGTGACCCCTGCAAACAACCAAAGGGAAATGGGCTCACTAATAGAATACCTCTTTAGGGAAACTTCATCCAGGGCTTTTTGGAACTGCAAAAATATTGCCCTATGGCTGTCTGTAATTGTAATAACTTCTTGTGGCATCCTGTCTTTTAGCAGGGCAAATAAGGGCACAAGACTATCTTTAGGGACAGAAACCCATGGCAACAGCCAATTGATTTCCCCTAAAAGACTCTGAAGTTGGGTTAAGGTTAGAGAGGCTGGAATATCCAGCAAAGGCTTAAGGGGGCTGGCCTGAGTCAAGGTAAGGTGGGTCCCGAGCACCTTAAAAGGAGCTACCTTTTGAATTTTATTAAGGGCTATGGTAAAACCCCCCTTTTTTAGTATGTCGAGGACCTGGGCCAGAAGGCCCTCCAGGCAGCTTGGGTCTCGGTGCCCCAGAATTATATCATCCATGTAGGCATAGGCAAGGGAGGTATCTGAACCCAGCACAGGCCCTAAAAGTGTAGCCAAGTATTGTTGGCAGAAGGCCGGGCTATTGGCCATACCCTGTGGCAGCACTGTCCATTCAAACCTCCGATCAGGCTGGGAAAAATTAAGAGAAGGTATAGAGAAAGCAAACTTCTCGCAGTCATCTGGATGCAGAGGGATAGAAAAAAAACAATCTTTAATATCAATCACAACCAAAGTATATTCTGAAGGTATAGCAGGAGTCCAGGGCATGCCTCTTAGGGGCGTTCCAACTAGCTCCATCCTTTCATTTACCTTCCGCAGATCTTGGAGCATCCGCCAAGCCCCAGAGGCTTTTTGAATAACAAATACGGGTGTGTTCCAAGGACTTATAGAAGGGCGGATATGCCCCAGGCTTATCTGTTCCTCCACCAGAAGGTGGACAAGTTTAGGTTTGGTCAATGGCCACTGCTCCACCCAGATTGGGCTTCCTGGCTTCCACCTAATGGGAGGTACTTGGGGGGCAGTGGCCTTTAGGATTGGGGGTGCACCCGAGTGGGTCCCCTATGTTCTTCTCTGTAATTATGAAAGTTAAAAAAATCCCCTTCCTTAACTCCCTCTAGATCCTGTTTAAGCCTTTGTGCTTCTTCCCCATCCAAGATATCATCATATGATGCTCGATGGTCTGTAGTGACCACGGCATCCATTTGTCTTAGCATATCTTGCCCTAGTAAATTGGCAGTGAGGTTCTTTGCCACTAAAGGGCATATCTTTCCTTGTTCTCCATCTGGGCTAGTCCATGTCATAAGGGCAACCGTTTCTTTGGTCTGGGAGTTGCCCCCTACCCCCAATATTGGGGGCCGAGGTGCAAGCTTCCAGTCCAAGCGCACTTCCTCCTCCCTGAGTATGGTTTGGTCTGCCCCAGTGTCAATTAAGCAGTGAAACCTCTTTCCGCCTATGAGAATCATTTTAGGGCGGAGTCTGTCCACCAGGGGGATGGTCCAATGGGCCTGGGTCGCCCTGCCACAAGGCTGCCTGGGCCTCACAGCAGAGGGGGTTCCTCCTTGAGTTAAAGGGGCTAGAGGATGCCCCTCCCCAAGTTTAAAGACTTCCCATCTAAATCAAATTTGTATCCCTCCCTGCCCCTGGGGTAGGGTATAGGGGGCGGTTTGCCCACGGGCCAGTTGGCAGGGGATTGTTGTAAACAATCCCTCTTAAAGTGCCCTTCCTGCCCCCATTTAAAACAAGTCCCTCTCCCCGATGGCCTTGGGGTTCCTTGGCCCTGGGCTGCCAGCGCCTGAGTAATGGCCTCAGTCATTGTAGATGCCTGAGCCTGTAAAGCTAAAGCTAGTGATTGGGACTGGTGCTGTTGCATTCCCACATCCTGTGAAGCCACCACCCATCTGCTCAGGGAACTCTCTCTCAATCCCGTGCAGGCCATGCGGTGGTCTGCATTCCCTTCCCAGACCAGCAGCTTTACAAACTGATCTCGGAGGTTCCCTGTCGGCAGCTTGAGGTGAACACTCTGTTGGACTCGGTCTATGAAATCAGGTCGAGGCTCACCCAGTTTTTGTCTCACTTCTGCCATGGAGGACTCAGTAGGCCCATCATCTAGTTTGTACCACACGGCAAGTCCTGCCTGCCTCACCTGGTCACAGTACGGGCCAGGTATTGCGGCCTGTTGGATGCCGGTGGAGTACCCTTCCCCCTTCCCTGCTAGCATGGCATAAGTAATAGGTTTTGCTGGTTGAGCCTGCCGGTTACTCTCCGCTTGCACTCTGCATTCCTCCTTAAAGAAAGCACACCATTTAATAAACTGAGAACTAGTGGTCTGGGCCCAGGGAGAGTTTGGGCCATCCTCCGCCACCGCCTTGCGGAGCTCTTTAAGATCCTTAGCTTCCCATGGATACCATTCCAAGGGCCTGTTAGCCCCTGATGCCACCTTGACCGGATACGCTTGGGGAAGCGAATCCTGTGGCCGAGAGTCTGGGCTCTTGGGTGGCCCTTCCTTTCCAGAGCTCTTGGGTGGCCCTTCCTTTCCAGAGGAGGTCTCCGAGTAGGTTACTTCCTCAGCCCTTGGTCCCTCCATGTGGTAGGGGTCTGGGCTTTGCAAGTCCCTCTCGCAGGTCTCGTAGGGCGCCATACCTCCCGTCCAATCAGGGGAATAGGGAGGGGGCCTAGGACCGTCCGGGGCACCTGAGTAGCTGCCTCCGCCCCTGCATGCACAGATAGTGCGTTCCCGGTTGAATTTGACCTTTTCCTTTTCCTTTTTACTTCCCAAGTCCTCCTGTACTCCTTCTAGGCCTAATGTTGCCTCCTCCTCCTTCTTCTGTGATATAGCATTACCCATATTTAGGGTTTCACTTACCCCGAGAGACCGCTTAGCCTCGGCCGGTATCTTTTCCTTTCGTGCCCCACGTTGGGCGCCAGATGTTGGGTCTTCGTCCGTCCCACGAAAGACGGACGGGGTCCGAGGAAAGGTAAGTGCGGCGCTCGCCCGTTCCCTAGCCTCCCTCAGCCCAGGAGACAATCAGACACAGCGGGGAGCCAAATCCAGCAGGTAGAAAAACTCGTTTATTAACAGAGAGCAGCCCCTTTTAAGGACAACAAGGGTGGGTGGTATGGTAAGGGAGGAAGAGGAACCAATCACTGTCAAGGTCACACCCTATCATTCACCTGAGCCCTCACGGGCTGGTTAGGCACTGATCAGAAGATCAATTGGGGTCTGCCCACTCAACCCCTCCCAGAGCCATCTTGGCTGGCCATGTGCTCTCCAGTAAATTAGGCTCTGCCCACTCAACCCCCTCCCAGCGCCATCTTTGCTGCCCATGTGCTCCACAGGTAATGTTGTGGCTTTGAACTTAAGAGCATGAGATGTGCAAGGCAAGTATAGTAGCAATTGTATATTTCATCTGTATCCCTAGTTCATGTACTTTGTTTTCAGTACATATATGTATATATATATTGAATTTTCATTCATATGAATCATATGAATTACTATTGTACTTTTTGCTATAAGCCATCATTTTAAAAATTACACAAAATAGGTTTGTGTTGTATTCCTTTATGCCTATCTACTAATTTACTATTTTTCTGATCCTTGTCCCATCAGTACATGTAAGTTGGCATCATTTGTCATTCTCTAAACAGGACAATTTTGTGTAGCACTTTGGTAAAGCAGCTTTGCTGCTGCTGAATTATCTTAATCTGAAAATATGTTCAATCCACATTTTTAGAATAATTCCTCTGATCAGAAGATTGTGAGTTGTTTTGAGTTGAAGGTTATTTTCATTAAACCCTTTACATATATATTTGCTTTTTGTATGCTGGGGGTCAGCATTCATTTCTGGTATTGTTAAGCATAGTGACAGTAGAAAAATGGTTAGCCATTCTGTTTTTGTAGTGAGAGCTTGGGAATAAAATTCTCACCATTCTTTATTTTCTTCCACATTTTTTTGGATCAGTTCCCTGAACTTTATTCTTATTTTTCTTTATCCTGCTGGGGGTCATCATGTCTTACACTGCTTTCTTTTATTCTGTCTCTATTTCTTTGCCCATATCCTTTCCATCTTTCCATAAGGACTATTAAATGCAAATCTGGTCAAGATAAATTTTATCCCCCTCTCATTTATATTCTTTATTGTAGAATATGATAATAATGATGCTACTAGTTCTTTTGTTTTTAGGGATGCAGTATAAGGTGGCCTAAAACCATCTTTAGGGATATAACAACAACAATAAGCACATGAAGCTTTTATTGTGAGAAATAAGTAAAGTCTTCTATGTCCCAAATCATTACTAATAAGTTTCTTGAATACTGTCACTTCCTTTAACACTTATCTAGACACTGTGTTTTTGTAGATCTGCTAATGTGGTTTGTACCCCTTGTGATTTCCTGACTAAGCTCTGGATATCCTAGATTCTGGGCATCTAGTTATAGTTGATCATTAGCAGATCATTAGCTCCTTAGAAGAAAAGTTTTTGTTTTTGTTTTTGTTTTTGTATTTTTGAGAGAGAGAGAGAGAGAGAGAGTGTTTTGTTCTGTCATGGGGCTTGAATTCTGGGCCTGGGCACTGTCCTCAGCTCTTCAGCTCAAGGCAAGGGCTCTACTACTTGAGTCACAGCGCCACTTCCGGTTTTCTGGGGGTTTATTGGAGATAAGAGTCTCACGGACTTTTCCTGCCTGGGCTGGCTTTGAACCGCGATCCCCAGATCTCAGCCTCCTGAGTAGCTAGGATTACAGGCGTGAGCCACTGGAGCCCGGCTTAGAAGAAAAGTTTTATCTTGTTTCTCTAGTTTACAGTAACTAAAAGCATTTCCTCTGATTGATAAGGGAAACTTTGCTTTAGTAATCAATAAGGTAGTATAAAGGTAGATATTTGTACTTTGACTTTTCCTTCCCATACTGTATAGATAACAGAGCAAACTTGAACTATTTTATGTAAGTCAGAAACATACGTGTAGAGGAATGAAATCCTTAGACTTGGTTTTTCCATGACTCAGTGCTAATGACTTTGAAATGTGCCATTACAGGGGTTGGTATCATTTGAGGATGTGTCTGTGGACTTCAGCTGGGAGGAGTGGAAGGACCTGGATTATGCTCAGAGGACCCTGTATAAGGATGTAATGCTGGAGATCTATAGCAACCTGGTGTCCTTGGGTGAGCAAAGGTCACATTAATTCTCTTGAGCAAGTGTTTTGTTCTTGATAGATATATATTAGAGACATGATTTAGAAATCGTTCATTTAAAGCTGATATTTAAAATCAAAAGCACATATTTATGGAGAAGGTCATCTTTAAAATTGATGAGAAATGAGAAAATAGGTTCCAGAGAAGCCTTCTCTACCAGGTTGTCTGAGATCATTACCGGACCATAGTTCTGTAATATTTCCCATTAACAGGGCACTGTGTTCCCAAACCTGAAGTGATTGTGAAGCTGGAGCAAGGGTCAGAGCCATGGCTGGGAGAAGCCCCAGACAGGAGTATCACAGGTGAGTCAGCTTTTGCTGGACATGGATGTTAAAAAGAGCAGACCTCATTGAGATGTTCTCATTCATGTCCCAGCTCCTGGATTCCTATGTTGCTGGTTCTCTTCAGCAGGTACTGGGGCAACAGATGAAGACATTGCCTGTGTAATATCATTCCATAATTTTTAATAACATTATTAGAGGAGGAATGAATTTAACTGGCAGACATAACTAACAACAGAAACTATCTCCCCTTTTTCTGCTTCCATATGGTCAGATTTTACCAGGGCTAGCTTAAGGGAATTATAGGAACAGATCAAAAGGGCATATTCTCAGCATTACAAAACAAGATATCAGAGGCAGTAAAATAGTTGCACACAGGGGCTGGAGAGGTAGCTCAGTGGTAGAGTGCTTGTCTTGCATGCATGAGGCCTGGGTTCGATTCCTCAGCACCACATAAGCAGAAAAAGCTGGAAGTGGCACTGTGGTTCAAATGGTAGAGCACTAGCCTTGAGCTGAAGAACTCAGAGATGGCACCTAGGCCCAGAATTCAGACCCCACAACTGACCAAAAAAAAAAAAGATAGGCCTACACAGACACTTTTCCTATCATTGAGAGGATTGTTGCATGAGGTTAGACAACACATAATCCCATCTTTCCTGAAACACAGAATACAGACTCATAAAACCATCAGTTTTCTGCAATCATCAGTCATTCTCCAAGTACTCAGTTCCCACAGGGCTCTAGGGTTCCCACGCTGGGTGTGGCAGAGTAGTTCTTTGGACTCAAGGCCCAGTGAACCAACAGTTCCTGTGGAACATCCTGAATTTTGTGTTAGTATTTAAGGTTAGCATCTTTGCTGTTTCTATGTGGAAATCATTTTTAAAAAAAGAAAGAAAAAATTACGAGATCCATTTTCTGTTGACCCTGAAGCTAGAAGGCACCAGGAACTAAGGAGGACAGCAGATTTGCAGGCCTCAGATAAGTGGGAAAAAAAAAAAAAAAAAGGCTGCTCAAAGGTTGGCACACAAACCCGGGATTCAGAATCAAAGCTTTAAGTGAAAAGAATATGACTAAGTTTAGGGGCCTGGTGTCTCCCATGTAGGCTGTGGTTCTGGGAGGCAACACTATGAAAATAGGCATTTGAAAGACATTTTTTAGAACAAGAGAAAAAGAGACTTCAAAATCCCCATAGATGCCAAGAGGAGTTTTCAGGGAGAAGTGAGCTTGTCAAACAGGCATAAGTCCTCACTCTCAGGAACCACTCCTGCTTAGGTCACAGGTAATTTACTTTTCATACATCCTTAGGTTTTCTGATTCTGGAACATATTTCTATCTTCAAATCTAAAGTTTCAGAAGGAAAGTAGCACAAAATACCCATAATTGTTGCCAAAAAATAGCCCAAAAGTCTTCCCTAAAAGAAAAGAGAAGGAGAAATAAGTGGCAGATTATATGTACTCAGTTTAAAAGCATTAGCAGTCAGGTATTGAGTGTTTTAACTAAATGTTTCCTCTTTCAAACAGAGACTAAAACTTAAAGAATCTGAGAAAAATATGACTATATCAGTATTTTGTTAAGTAACTCATTAGGGAGAAATTATATTGTTCTCATAAATCTATTCCTAGTACTTTTTTTTTAATCTTTAGTAAATAGAATGGGAGGAAATGTATTTCCTTTACATGAATATTCGCTAAGAAGTGCTTGCATGTCATCATGATTTTATTCTGCTTTTTTGTTAAACATTTTAGATGGCCAGCAAGTAGATGGTTTGATTAAAATGTGCCAGGAAAGTCCAGACATACAGCGGTTGCAAGTTGTAATCACCAATAGCAACACAGTGGAGGAAAGAGTTAAGTTTTTAAGTGTAAAAAACGGAGCAGATCTTACTACAAACTATACCTCACTGTACAGCAGGAAACTCACAGAGGAGAGATACTCTATGAATACAATGAATGTACTTATCAGAAGTGAGATCTCAGGAGGCTTCAGAGAACTCACACAGGAGCCAAATCACATGAATGTAACACACTTGGAAAGTCTTTCAAGAAGACCCCATCCCTCAGTGTGTATCAGAGAAGACACACAGGAAAGAAATCTAATGAATGTAAACCATGTGGAAAGTCTTTCAAATGGAAATCACAGCTCAGTGTACATCAGAGAACATACAGTGGAGAAACCATATGAATGTAACACATGTGGAAAGTCTTTCAGCCAGATGTCATATCTCTGCAGGCATCGGAAAACACACACAGGAGAGAAACCATATGAATGTAACACATGTGGAAAGTCTTTCAGACTGATTTCATATCTCCACAAACATCAGAAAACGCACACAGGAGAGAAACCATATGAGTGTAACACATGTGGACACTCTTTTGTCTTCAAGTCAAACCTCCATATGCATCAAACAACACACACAGGAGAAAAACCATATGAATGTAACACATGTGGAAAGTCTTTCAGACTGATGTCATATCTCCATAAACATCAGAAAACACACACAGGAGAGAAGCCATATGAATGTGACACATGTGGACAGTCTTTTGTCTTCAAGTCAAACTTCCATATGCATCAGATAACACACACAGGAGAGAAACCATATGAATGTAACACATGTGGAAAGTCTTTCAGAGAGATGTCACATCTTCGTATGCATCAAAGAACACATACAGGAGAGAAACCATATGAATGTAGCACATGTGGAAAGTCTTTCCTCTCCAAGTCAAACTTCAATGTTCATCAGAGAATACACACAGGAGAAAAACCTTATGAATGTAACACATGTGGAAAGTCTTTCAGATGGATGTCCCATCTTCCTCTGCATCAGAGAACACACACAGGAGAGAAACCATATGAATGTAACACATGTGGAAAGTCTTTCAGATGCACGTCACATCTTCGTATGCATCAGAGAACACACACAGGAGAGAAATCCTATGAATGTAACAAATGTGGAAAGTCTTTCTACTACAAGTCCAGCCTTAGTGTGCATCAGAGAACACACACAGGAGAGAAACCTTATGAATGTAACACGTGTGGAAAGTGTTTCCGACAGATGTCACATCTCTGCAGGCATCAGAGAACACACACATGAGAGAAACCTTATGAATGTAACACATGGAAGGTCTTTCAGCAGGATGTCATGTCTCTACAAGTACCAGAGCACACACACAGAGAAATCTTATGAATGGAAAGTGTTTCAGCCAGAAATCAAACCTTGGCAGGCATCAGAAAATTCACACATAAGCAAAACTTTATGAATGTAAAAAAAATATAGTAAGTCTCAAGAACAATTCAGCCTTCACTAAGCATCAGAGATGCCATATGAATGTAAGACATGTGGAAAGTCTTTCAGGCAAATAGAAAATCTCTGTATGCATTAGAGCACATGCAGGAGAGAAATCTTAGGAATATAACAAATATGGAAGTCTTTCTACTACAAGTGAAGCCTCAACCTTCATCAGAGAACACAGACAGGAACCTTATGAATGTAACAATTGTGGAAGGTCTTTCAAGCAGAAGTTCAACATCAGAATTCACACAAGAGAGAAACCTTATGAAAGAAATGTGGAAAGAATTCACCTACAAGTCAGATGTTAGCAGACATCAGAGTTTACACAGGAGAGAGCTCTACACTAAATTGGACAGATGGAAATGAAGCTTCTAAGAGCTTTGAATTTTTGTATGAGACACCTTCAACCCCTACACCTCTTTTAAGAGTATCAAAAATTGGAAAGGTTGACGTTGAGCCAGCATACTTTGGCCAAATACTTAATGGAACCAACTATGTTGGACTATGAAATGGTGCACTTTCTGCCTTCTCAAATTGCAATAGAAGCTTTTTGCTTTGCACTGGAAATTGCTTTTGTTGTTGTTGTTGATGTTTGTTTTTTTGTTTTTGTCTGTCATGGAGCTTAAACTCTGAACCTGGGCAGTGTCCCTGAGCTTCTTTTGCTCAAGGCAAGCACTCTAGCATTTGAGGTACAGCAACACTTCCAGGTTTTTTTTAGTAGTTTATTAGAGATAAGAGCCTCAATGGAGTCTCCTGCCTGGGCTAGCTTCAAACCGTGATCCTCAGATCTGTCTCCTGAATAGCTAGGATTACAGGTGTAAGCCACCAGTGCTTGGCTTGGAAATTCCTGATGATGGTGTATGGATAATACCTCTGGCATTTACCTGTCTTACACTGAAGAATTCCTTCTTCCTGTTATGCAGCACCTGGTTAAAAATATAGTCATGGTGAATTGGGGGCTTACAAAGTACATGACTCTCAAGAACAAGTAAGCTACATCTAGGCATACCAAGTTAGCATTCCATCACAGTTGGATTCTACACTAGTTCAAGATTTAGATAAGGCTGTGACAAAGGTGTAACTTGTCAACTTGAGTTGGAGTACAATAATAGCTGCAAACTTGTCACCATGTGCACTTGTACATACTATACTGTATTTACTGAGTTTTTAATGATGGTTGTGGCCATTTTTACCTTTAATAGCTTAACTCATCTGAATATCATTACTTCCTACTGTAGGGTAACATGGAAGTCATAAAAATGAGTATTTTTAAAAAAATCATGAAGCTGCTTTTAACTCCAACTTAATGTATATGTCACTTATATGTTTATATACTTGGCTCTTGTTTTATGTACCTGGATTTTACTTCTAATATGGTGAAGATACCATAGGTCATAACTCTGTGTGAGCTCATCATATTGGAGAACTTCTTACCTAGTCATGATTTTCAGTCAAAGCTTGCACTTCATCCCTAGTTCACTTATGTTCTGTTTCTTCAGTTGCTTGCTGCCCTGCTCCTGTTCTCACTACTTTCTTTTTTTTTTTTTTTGGAGGGGAGGGTCTGGTCGTGAGGCTTGAACTCTGGGCCTGGGCATTGTCCTTCAGCTCTTCAGCTCAAGGCTAGTGCTCTACCACTTGAGCCACAGTGCCACTTCCAGCTTTTTTTCTTTTTGCTTATGTGGTGCTGAGGAATCGAACCCAGGGCCTCATGCATGCAAGGCAAGCGCTCTGCCACTGAGCCACCTTCCCAGCCCTCTCACCTCTTTCTTGAGTTATCAAACTTCTTTTTTTAACTGTCTCACTTCTAAAAAATGTGCATTCTAAATCCAGCTTTCATTTTATGTATGTGTTTTTGTTTATTGGTTAAGTAAACAAAACAAGATGTCAAGAACAGAAATGATAATTTGCCCTACCTTTTTGAATCTCATCTTTCTGAAGGATATTAACAGATTAAGATGCATCTACTCTCCCCAACCCTCTGTAAACATCCATGAGTTGCTGTAGAGAGATTTTTAATGGGTCCATTGTGTATATAGCAACATTCCTTCCAACATGTCCTTTCTGAATTTATACCTCACATACTATGGCTATATTGTATGTAATATACATGACTATTGCTCTGTAGACTGGATTTGCTCATTGCCTGTATAATGTTGGTTAAAGTTTATTTTATACCATTTTTCTTGATATGATAGACTTCCCAAAGTATATGTGTTCAGGCAGAGCCAGATGAATTTCTCAGCATAGTCAGCAGTGTATATAATGCTTTTCTCTGCATCTTTGTTAAATCTGAAAGTAGTCTATCTTAATCTTTGTGAACTGAACTAGCAAAAACTACTACCTCATTTGTTGTTTTAAGTTATATTCCCAGCTGTATATGCTATGTTACCCCAAGTTAAATAAATAGTTAGTCTTGTCAATGTGAAAAAAATAACAAACTGTTAGAACTTGGTCTTTAGGAAAAGAACTTGTGCATAGTTGGCATAACAGCAGTGTGGGGGCAAAGGCCAGGCACTTGGGAAAGTGAAGAAGAGCAAGATGTGAGCAGTTTTGTAGGGATTAACAGGCCAGTGACTCACACATTGGTTGTATGTACTGTTGATGGATGAGGTCTTAGTCAATTTTGCTTTGTCAAGATCCCTGACTCCTGTTCAAGCTGATTTTTCAATGTATGGGTTTGAATAGTAGATCCTTTTAAAAAGCTAGCATTTATGTTTCCTTTACTTTGCATATGCAGTGCAGATATCAGTAAGGTACTGGAGGTTTTCTTTTCATAATTCCAGATATCAAGTTAGTAAAATTGCTAAAATAATGTTTTTCTGTTGGTCATGGGGCTTGAACACTGGGCCTGAAAGCTGCCCCTCAGCTCTTCATTTGAAGGCTAGCACTCTACCACTTGAACCACAGTGCTACTTCCAGTTTTTTGGTGATTTATTGGAAAAAAGAACCTCAGGGACTTTCATGCCCAGGCTAGCTTTGAGCCATGATCCTCAGATCTCAGCATCCCTAGTAGCTAGGATTACAGGTGTGAGCCACTGGCACCTGACTTCTAAAATAAAATTCTTACAAAGAGTATTTTAAGTGATAAAAAGCAATAGCTTTTTTCTTTTTCAGAAAAAAATAGATGGAACTAGAGGAGATAAGCTAACATCAGAAAGCCAAATAGTATGTTCTCATTAATTTGTGGAATCTAGCCCTAAAAGAGCATATGATTGCATGTCTGCACACACACACACACACACACACACACACACACACACACACACACACACACACACACACTGTAAAACATGATTGTGACATTGGGGTTGTTTAGCAGAACAAGAGTGAAAGAAGGATGGAGGAAAAGTTTTAAAATACATTATGCCTGTGTGAAGATGGCATAAGGAATTTTACTGAAAGCTGTTGAACCACTGGAGTACACAGGAACATAAGAAAAGAGAACAGTAAAGGAGGTTAACCTGACTCAATTATTAAAGCTGTATGTGTGAAATACATTGGTGAAACTTTGTGTGCAATGAATATACACTAAAGAATGTATGAGAGGTGGCTGAGAAGGTGGCTCAGTGGTAGAGGGCTTGCCTTACATGCATGAGGCCCTGGGTTCGATTCCTCAGCACCACATAAGCAAAAAGAAAAAAAAAGCTGGAAGTGGCGTTGTGGCTCAAGTGATAGAGCACTAGCCTTGAGCTGAAGAGCTGAGGGACAGTGCCCTGGCCCAGAGTTCAGGCCCCACGACTGGACCCCCCAAAAAAAGAATGTATGAGAGGTAAGTAAACATTCTCTGTTGGGACCTGAGGTGAGTGTTAGAGGGAGGGACCATGGAGATAGTGATTGTGGGTGAGTATCGTTAAAGTAAGTTTTTTTGTGTGCTGGTCTTTAGAGTTTGAAGTCAGGGTCTCAGTAAGGACCCAGACTACTTCTTTTAAATATTTGATTATTTTCTAGCACCAAGTGAAGAATCACTTTTGTTGAAGGTATACAATACAGATTTTCTTGGTGCCAATTACATCCCTCAGATAGACAATTAAAATCAAGATCATTTGTTACCTGGCCCCCAGTCACACCTATTTCCTTAAGAAGATGGGACATTCCTTTGGCCCATTTCCCACATTTCTGAAAGATTTGTGATATGTTTTTACAGTTTATCACTTGCCCCCCCCCCCTTTTTTGTAGGTTGTGGGTGTGAACTAAGGGCCTGGGTGCTGTCTCTGAGCTTTCTTTCCTTTTCTTTCTTTCTTTCTTTCTTTCTTTCTTTCTTTCTTTCTTTCTTTCTTTCTTTCTTTCTTTCTTTCTTTCTTTCCTTCTTTCTTTCTTTCTTTCTTTCTTTCTTTCTTCCTTTTTTCTTTCTTTCTTTCTTTCCTCCCTTTCTTTCTTTCCTTCTTTCTTTCTTTCTCTCGCTCTTTCTTTCTTTCTTTCTCTCTCTCTTTCTTTCTTTCTTTCTTCTTTCTTGTCCTGGGGCTTGAACTCAGAAACTGGGCTCTGCCCTGAGCTTCTTTTTGCTCAAGGCTAGCACTACCACTTGAGTTATAGTGCTACTTCCAGCTCTTTCTGTTTATGTGGTATTAGGAAATCAAACCCGGGCTTCATGCATACTAGGCAACACTCTAATGCTAATCCATATTCCCAGCCCCTTTTAGCTTTCTTGCTCTAACCACATGGAGCCACAGCTCTGCTGCTAGTTTTCAGGCAGTTAATTGTAGTTAACAGTCTTAGAGCCTTTACTGCCTGGGCTGGCTTCAAACCATGATCCTAGATCTCAGCCTCCTGAGTAGCTAGGATTACAGGAGTGAGCCGTGAGCACCTGGCTACCCCCAGCATTTAAATTCTTTCTTGATTTCTTTTTTCAATAAGCACACTTAACTATTCATGGAAAACAAAGTCAAGAGGAAAAATAAAAACTCATGAAGCATGTAAATGAAAAAAATTTAAAGAATACAGGGAAATACACAAAAAAGCCAGATACTACCAAGTAATTGAAGAGGAGATGGGTTCAATTTTCTTGCCAAGTAAATTGAAATTAGTCCTAGAATAAATACTTGTCACAACAGTAATATCCGATTCCCAATAATCTGGAGTGGAATATGAGCCGAAGGAGTATTTACTATATTTAAAGACACATCAAGGTATTCACTGGTTTCTCCTGCATATACTCCTAGCTATTCAAGAGTCTGACGTGAAAAATTATGTTTCAGAGCCAGTCTGGTGAGGAATCTACAGACAAAGCTACATCACCCTTATTTCTAATTAACAAGATGATAGCAGAATTAGAAAAGTGGCTCAAATTGTATTGTTGGAGGGAAAAAGTCAAGTGAGAACATGAAGCTCTAAATTCAAGACCCAGTTCAAGTAAATACAGTCACACAAAAAGCTAACTTGTGGCAAGTCACTCTGCCATTCACTTACTCTCAGAAATTAAACTCTCTCAGGCAGTTTATCTGAACGTATATGAATCATTACTTCCTTTGACCTGCTTTCCTCCATGAAAATGCAAGTAATTATGCATTTTCAGTGGGTTATACATTGACAGTTGTTATGAGGACCCT